TCTCTTCAGGGTATATTCCCAGTAGTGGAATTGCTGGGTCAAATGGTATCTCTATTTGCAACTTTTTGAGAAAGCGCCATACTGCTTTCCACAGGGGTTGACAGCTGTTAAATCCAATAGTTTGTTATAATGCCTTGTCTTGATGACCTCACTTTAAATCTTCTGTTTAACTCTCTTCATCATTCCTTCCTTTCACTTACTTTATTTTCTCTACATTCAAGAAAAAGATTCAGAGTCTCTTCTGACATTTTATTCTGATCTTTCCTTTCTTTCTTGTCTTTTTAATGGCCATTTGCTGATTTCATAGATGATATCCATGATGTCAGTTAGTTTGGTCTTAGGTCATTAGTGTTCACTGTGTCAAATCTATTTTGGAGATGGTTTGAAAATTCAGATGAGATAAATGAAAAGTTGTATTTTGGCTTTTATGGTCTTATTTTTAGTTTTCTCAACTTACAAGCTGGGTTTAGAAGCAGCTTTGGCACTAGGATATCACTGTTGACGTCAGATAAATCTTAGCTGACTGTGGCACTAGGATATCATTGTTCCTGTCAGATAAATCTTAGCTGAAAGCAAAAAGTATCAGAAAGATGTCTATTTGTATTTTATAAACTATGCAAAGGAATTGATTATATGGATTACAACAAATTGTGACTAACATTGACAAAACTGGGAATCCCAAAGCACTCAATTGTGTTCATTATGAAACCTATACCTTGACCAAGAAGCAGTCGTTGTAATCGAGCAAAATCAAGAAAGGAATCAGGAATGTATACTTTCTCAATACCTTGTCAGTCTAAATGCTAAACAGATCATTTGAGAGTATAGACTACACATAGAAGAATCAGGACTGGAGAAAGACAATATGCAGGATTGGAGGAGGATGTTTTGAAGATGACCTAACCTGTTGGCTGAAACTGAGGACTTGAGGCTCTTGCTGCAGAAGATTGAGGACCACAAACTTCCTTAAGGATGCACGTCAACATCAGGAAAACAAAAAATTTTTGCCACCAGACCAAAAGCAGCCTCATAATAGACAGAGAAAAGATTAACAATTTCATCTCGCTCAGATCTACCATCAACATTCTTGACACCAGCAGTCATGAAATCAAAAGACAAGTTTGCATTGTGAAAATCTGCTGTGATGGACTTCTCCAGAATGTTAAAGAGCAAGGATGTCAGTCTAGAGTCTAAGGTGCCCCTGATCCAGGCTATGTTCTTCTTAATTACTTGCTATGCATCAAAGAGCTGAACAATGATTAAGGATTACAGAAGAAGAATTGATGCCTTTGAAGTTGTGGTGCTGGAGAAGAGTATTGAACATAACATAGACTTCCAAGAGAACGAATAGGTCTGTCCTGAAGAGGGTAAAACCAGGTTCCTCCTAGGAAGCAAGGGTTTTGAAACTCTGTTCTACATATTTGGGTATGTTTTCAGGAGCGGTCAATTGTTGGAGAGACACATCATGCTTGGTAGGGTAGAGGGTCAGTGCAAGAAAGGAAAACTCTGAATGAAATGGTTGACACAGTGACTGTGGCAGTGGGGTCAGGTGTATTGGAGACGATGAGGTTGGCTCAGGATAGAGCAAAGTTCAGAGATATTGTTTGTAGGGCCTCTACAACTCATAGTCAACTTGATGAGACACAACAACAATCACAAAAACATCAAATTGACAGATGAATGGTAGTTGCTGCTGTTGTTGATTGCCGTCAAGTCAAGCACGACTCACAACGACCCTGTGAACAAAAGGTCTGAAGCCTTTTTGTAACTATTGACATTTATCAAAGTTCATAGAATTTCCAGAAGCACGTTGTTTAGGAAGTGGATGCCATTCCTACTTCCAAGAATGGTAGTTAATTAACAATAATTTTTAGAAGATAATTCCAGAAAATCATCACACAATTTACTCTCTGTAGTATCTACCACTATGCCTTATGGTTTACAATATTTGTTGGCATCAATGGAGTGTCCTTATCTCTGCTGATGTTCTGTTCAGCTCAGAGGTGGGGACATAAAGGAATAAGGCAGAATAAAGAGCATATGGAAGAAAAGAAGATAGAGGAGATAAAAATAACAAGGGAAAATACAGGAAGAGCAAAGATGGTGTACTAACTGAGACCTAACTACCTCTGTTTGTCTTAGTCTAAGTGACTTTTCCCTCCTTCTCTCTTTTTTTCAAAATTACTTTGAGTTTTTGTATTCTGCCTCAAGAATTCTTTGGCCTCAAACATGGCTCATTAAATAACTCAATGACATTGAGTTGGAACTGACTCATCGCTGACCCTCCAGTGGGTTTTCAGAGGCTGTAAATCACATGGGAAGAGATTGTTCAACTTTTTCCACAAAGATACTGGTGGATTTTGAACTGTCAGAGAGACGTGGTCTTTGGATTCGGTATAAATTCTGGTGGATGACACCACCATATTGCTCATGGAATAGACAAAGTCAATAATATCAAGCTAGTCAGCGATACAATGCAAAAAAACTTGGTCAATTTAACATGTGAAAAAACAGTCACAAATGTAAGTTAAGAAAACATTTCTCTGCAACATATTGTTTTCTCTGCATAATAAAATCTCTTTTATAGAAGATGGGTGTCCTAATATTCCAGACAGGCACTGAGCAAAATTAACTCCAATATGTCAATAAAGAGATAAATCTACTGAGGCAAGAGAAGCTGGCTATGATTATACTCAGGGGTGGGGTGAGGAAATGGTGGGGAAAGACATTCATCACAGATAGGCAACACCAGTGACCAGGGTGCTGAACTCCTAAAATCAATTTGGTTCCAAATTCTCCCTGGTTTAGTCCCATATCAATTTAAGGTAGCTCTAAAAAGAATATGAATGCAGCTGCCAACTCCATTAATTCGAACTTTCCTTCACCCTTCAAGTGATGTACATGTGACCAATTACTTTGGATGTTGCAAAATTAACTATTGTTTTTGGTAACTTGCCACCCAGGTGAAACGTTGACTGTGAAGTGAGACAGAGCCTCAAACAATTTTCCAAAATGAACAACGATTTACAGATGATGAATTTGGGTTCAGTAATGAGCAGAGCATGTGAAGACTAAGATGAGGCTACCTGGTTTATAATGATTTTCCCAACAAAATATCCAGATAGTCTCCTTTTTATTCTGTTCTTTTTGTGCTGAGCTTTAATAAATATTAAAGAATGGCACAGTAACAACAAAGATGTAGTTTTAGATCACCAGTGACTGCTGGCTCTGACTTATTTTCAGGCATGACTCATAAAAACTAATACAAACCTCAAAATTTACTAGACTCAGTTTCAATCTTTCTCCCAATTATTTCTTGCTTTAAAAAAAATCAGTAAATAGCATAAAACTAAAAGCTCTGGATTTTATTTTCTTTCACTTTTTTGTTTTTCCACACAACCTCAAAGACAATCCAAAGAAGAATAACCAATCTAAAGACTTGTTTAAGCAGTTAAATATATTATTAAGACATATCCATAGAAGGGGGCTCTGGTGGCCTAGTGGTAGGAAGCTGCGCTGCAATCCCAAAGACATATGGTTCGAATCCACCAGCTGCTTCTTGGGGAAAAAACATGGGCAATCTCCTCTTGTATGATTAACTGCCTCCAAGAACCCTCTGGAGGGTCAGCTATGAGTTGGTTCCAACTTGACAGTATACAACAACAACATTCATGTAAATATTGTTTAACTAAAGTAGGATATTAATTTAGTCTCAGAACTTTTAAACGGCAGTAAAATTATCTCTGTCATTTGTGTGATGCTTCTCATTACTCCAGCCATAAACCACTTTTAGGCAAGTACTGTGTCTTTTCTTTCACTAGCATATTCTGCCCCAAGAATTCTTTGGCCCCAAATGCGGCTCACTGAGTAGATGAGTCAATAATAGCCAAATGGCCAAAGATCCATCTTCAAAGAACTTGATCAGTGACACATATGAGAAAACAGTTACAAATGTAAATGAAGAAGGCATTTCTCCACAATCCCTTGCTTTTCTTGCATAACAAACAGAGTTCAGATTTGTTTATCTAACTTGCAATCTTCCAAGAGCCTATTCAAGAGCCCAACGGAAACCAATAAAAGGGTTTTGTCTACCACACAGATTCTGTGCATATTTCTCTTGGTTCTCTCTGTTAAGCTTTACTTAGCATTTTTCACATACTCTTTAAAATCTTAACTCTGTAAGCATAATTTTTGCAATTAAAAAAATTTCTATTTCCCAAGATTGAAGGGATAATATGTCTTGTTTTGAAATCTTGATTGTTACATTCTTTTTTTGGTTTGTTTGGGGTTTTTTCAGGGGTTGGTTTGGGGTTTTTGTTGTTGTTGTTGTTGTTATTTTATTGTTGTTATTATTATTATGATGTCATATTTTTATTTTACTAGCCATGCCCAGTGCTCTGTCTTGTATACCTACCACCATCATCACAAAACTGCAAATCAAACCATACAACGGTTCCCCTCAAATATAAGCCATGCAGTACTTACTTGACTCCTACTCTGTTTGATGTATCCTGGAGGTCACTTGGGTCAAAAAGTTGAGACTCTTTCAGGCCAAGCTCTTTACAACCTCTCAAGAATAAGATAATGTTGTCCTGAAAGGGAAAAATAATCAAGTCTCCATTAGTTTCGATTATAAACCAATGCTCCCCTTTAACAGATCACAAAGAAAAGAGCTCTTAGCACAGAGTCACCATGAGTCAGAATCTACTCACTAGCAACAGATTTTTAAATTTGTTTTGATTTTGTTTCCCCTTTTCATGATCAAGATCACTGGAGGCAATGACTGTCATTTTAAGGTAGGTCAAACACACTTTGATTTTTTTCAGATCCAAAGGCAACATTATAATAGATGGAGAAAAGCTACATTGAAACTGTCAACAACTTCATCTACTTCGATCCACAATAAAAATGCACATGGTACTAACAGTCAGGACATCAGGAGACATATTACACTGGGAAAGTCTGAAGTCATGGACCTCTTCAAATTATTGAGGAGCAATGACGTTAGTGCACCTTTATCAGGCCATGGTCTTTTCAGTCTCTTGCTATGCTGCTGAGAGCTAAACAGTGAATAAAGATTGCAGAAGAAAAATTGATACCTTTGAACTGAGGTATTGGAAAAGAGTACTAATTATTCCATGGAATGCAAAAAAAAAAACCCCCAAATATGTCTTAAAGAAATTGAAGCCAACGTGAGCCTTGGAGGCAATGATGATAATATAAAGCTTCATCTCACATACTTCAGTCATGTTGCTAGGAGAAGCAATTTCTTGGAGAGGGACATCATGCTTATGACAGAGAAAGAGAGGAAGACCCTTAACCACATAGTCTGACACAATGACTGTAGCAATGGACGCAAGGGTGTCAGACATTGTGAGAATGGCATAGAACAAGGTTCAGATCTGTTGTTCAAAGGATCATTATGAGTTGTACTCAACTCAACAGCACCGAACAACAATATATTTCAATAAGAAATGCTAGAGTTAGAAGATAATTCATACTTCTCAATTCATATCCATGCCAGATTTATTCATGTATAAAACTACACAACAAATTCCACTGAAAAGTCTAATATAGCATCCATATTTTAAGTATGAAAAGTCACAAAGAAGGCACAGAGACACTCTCTCTACATGCATTCCCAATTCGCACACATATCTGTGAATGCCATGCTCTAGTCAGCACATGAGCCAGCCAGCGGGGACAATTTGGGCTGGAAGATTTAAATGACTGCAAATCTCCTCCCAGCCTCTTTCTGTAACCTAATGACGCTGGAGGGGAGCAGGGCCCCAACTCAGAGGGAAGCTCAAAGGAGGAGTCACACAGACAAGAGTTAATGATGGCAATGACCAGAGCAAGCGGGGAGGACTCTGCTTTCAAATCCATAAAGCGCATCTTGTAAACACCTATCTGCGACATTCTTTACTATGAGGCTTTCTCCCATTTGTAATTTTGAGCAAACTTCACATCTTACTTTGTTTTGATGTTAGAAGCCCAACAGAATGACAGTGTCTAAATTCCAAAGGAGAAGAAGTAGGAAATGCTGACTTATTCTAAAGATTTCTAGTTAGCTCTTACATGGTAAGATAAAACCATGATGACAGGACAACCAAATGCAATATATGACTTTTAATTAGATTCTGTCTTCAAAAAGGAAAGGAAAAACATTTACAAAATTTCAGTTTAAATATAGACTGTATGTAGCCTTGGAAATCTTACCCCATGAGGAAGAATCAACTCAACAGCAGTCGGCTTGTATTGCTGTTGTCAGCTGCCACCAAGTCGACTCTGACTTACAAATGCTCAACACAACAGCTTTAACTCTTGTAGCATCCCCACAGTCTCTGTTGTGCTTAGTCCAATGTTGCATTCACTATGTCAATCCTTCTCACTGAAGGTTTCTCCTTCATTGCCCTTCTACCTTTCCAAGCATGATGTCCTCCAGGGTGTGGCCTCTCCTGATAATACAACCCATGTATGTGGGACAGTGTCTCATCATCTTCACCTCTAAGGAGCACCCTGACTGAGCTGCTTCCCAGACAGACTTGCTAATTTTTTTGGCAGTCCACAGTATTTTCAATATTCCTGGTCAATAGTTCAAAGGCAACAATTTTTCATTGGTATTCCTTATTCATTATCCAACTTGCATAAACATATGAAGCCATTGAAAACAACGTGTCTTGGGTCAGGATCACCTTAGTGTTTGAGTACAATGTTGTTGGTATGTGCTGTCAAATTGAAACGGACCCATAACTGACTCTTCACTGGGTTTTCAGAGGCAGTAAATAACACAGGAGGAGATTGTTCATCCTTCTTTCATGGAACAGCTGGTGGATTCAAACTACATGCCTTTGGTATTGCAGCACAGTTTCTTAACACTAGACCCCAGGAATTGTTCACCTATAGTTAATTTTCATAGAAGTGTTAATGATTTTTGAAGTTATATAAGAGAATACCTTAATTATTTTCTAAGCTTTTTTTTTAATCGGTTTGTTTACAAAGTTCGTATACATTGTGTTTCACATTATTCTCCATTCACACTGTATTTCATACAATCATTCTCATGCATTATGTTTTATAAAATTAATCACAGTTAGACTATATGCCTATCATTATTCTGTCTTTTCGCCCAGGTGCTTCCCCACAGATCCCTCCACCCACCAAACTGAGTAACCTTGTGGTTTCACCCCTACTCATCCATGGTGGTGTTACTGGGTATCACTAAGTCAGCTAAACCTCATAATCACCTTATGAACATCAGATCAAAACCTTGCCCTATCCTGGTCCATCCTCCCAATTTCAGCCATGATCAAGCCCTTTGGTGAAGTCACTGTGTCAATCTGTCTCTTTGAGTGTCTTCCTCTCATTTGTCATCCGGGACTCTGATTCTTTACTTTTTCAGCATGGTATCTTTCTCTATGGCATCTCCTGACATTATGCTCAAAGTACATGAGAAGCAGACTCATCAACCTTGTCTCCAAGGAGCATCTTAGTCACACTTTCTCGAAGACATTAATGTACAGATGGTGAATTATCTTTGTGTTTCAAATGGTTAAAAAGGAAAAAGTGTACTCAAGTGTATGTGCACGTTTAATGCACGCATGAGTGTATATATCTGCCTGTCTTTGGAGAAAGAGATAAAACAACTATGGAAAATATTAACAATTAATGAATCTAGTTCAAAAATTGGCAAAGGTTTTCCATAAGGGGCAAAGCAGTAAATATTTTAAAGACTTGTAGGTCATATAATGAATCTTGTTGTAATAACTCAATTCAGGTTTTATATCTTTTTATATTTTATATATAA